GCACCCTGGCGCGCCACCTGCCCGGCGTCGGAGCCAGCCTGCCGACCTCTGCCTGCCTGGGGCTTGGCGCACAGGACGCACGGATGTTTTCCTGTCTGGTGTTTTTGGTGCGGGCAGCAACCGATGGCTGAAGTCCATCGTGATGTGCACTACGGGCGTCCTGCTCAACGAGATGAAGTACATGCGGGAGGGCGACTCCCCGGTGTTGGAGGCGGAATTGGTTGTCATGGACGAGGCGCAGCAGTATGGTGCAATCTCGGAAGTGGCGTCTATGTCGGCCACTTGGCGGGCGACACTGGCAACACGAGTGGCCAGGAAGAAAATGTTGGAGCGGTCCATGGGCCTCCGACGCAACTCGTGCTGGATGCATCCCTGGCAATTGGCAGTTCACTTATCCCAGATCGCTCGGCTAGAGCCCAAGCAGAAAGCGGATGTGGAAAGGCTGCTTGCAGGATGCACATGACCCTGCTGCCGGTTTTAGCACCCCCCTTTTCACCCTGGTCCGCAGAAGGTTGCGTGCCTGAACCGTTTGCACTGCTGAAAGAGGAATGCCAAAAAATATTACAGGTTTCAGGTTCATCTGCTGGGACATCCACTGGTGCACGTGGGGTGCCAATGAAAACGTGTCATGGCGGGGGTACTATGACCGCGTGGCGAAGTGGCGGGTCGATCGTGATCATGTCCGTGCAAGGGCGCTGGAAGAACGGGAACCGGCTCTGTGGCCGAGCAATGTCACGTGAGTGTTGCGCCACCTGCCCCGGACTTTACCTTTGGCTCGCTGGCCAGCCGGCCTGCCTCATCCAGTGCGGGCTCGGGCGTCAGAGGACAGCCGTCAGAAGGCTGACACGGCGGTTTTGCTGGACAGCAGCTCGGATGATGATGCGTCATCATCCTCCACGTCCTCGACCTTGGAGGCTCTGGTGGGCACGCAGCAGGTCGCAGAGGCAGACGCCTCATCCAGGTTCAGGTTCTCAGCTCCTGTTCCTGGAGCTTTTCGAATGTGGCACCGCCCGGACTGCAGGTGGACGACGCCACCATGCTTACCTCGCTGATGGGGACCGGTGCGAGCCAGACCGGTGATGCTCTAGGCACCTGCTCCACTTTTTTGGCTGAACGCAAGCGCAAGTTTCAGTATCAATGACAGGCTATTTGTGCTGTGTGCTGTCCAAGCACAGATGGAGCCGTCGAGCCACCTGATGGACAGGGATGACGGTGGTGCCTGTGCTGAGTATGGTCCAAGCTCGGTCCTGCCAGCCGCTGAGCTTGCTGGCTAAGGACCCTCTCTGGCTTTGGTTGACTTCCTGGCATCCCTTCTGATGCCGCGTGCGATAACGCCTTTCCCTTCATGTCAGGAAGCTTTTGTGGCAATGGAACCACGTGGACTGCCCCTACCCTTCATCCAGGAGGGGTCCGTCCTACCAAGTGACCGCAGTGGAAAGCCAAGGACTTGGTGGAGCAACAATGCACCAGTCGGGATGCAATGGATGGTCTCCGGGATGCGGTCATGTGAGTGTATGTGCTTTTTAGTTGGTGTTGAATTCATTGGACATTTCGATGGTGCTCCCACCTCTTTGTGCAGAATTTCGGGCTTGGCTTGCTTTTCTCTGGTTTGCCCGCTGGGGAAGGGCTGCTTGTCAGTACTATACCGAGACATAATTCACCTTTTGGCACCGTTTACGGGACCCCACGGCGGCCGCCTTCTCGCTTCGGCGCGTGGCCGGTCGGTGGTGGGCGCATCGCCTTTGGGCCGCCAATTGCAGCGATGGAGGTGATGGTCGTTTGCAGTGAGTGCTGCCTTCTGGCTGACCCAGGGGTGTGACAACCCTCACTTTTTCAGTTTATTGTTTGAGTGCGCTCGAGATTCTTGCATTTCTTGGATGCTCTGGATGATGTATTCATGGGGATTGCCCGTGCATGCTTTTTTCCTGGCCAGTCTGCCAGTATTACCGCATGCTTTGGAGCGAGCTCTGCCCTGCGTATGTCTATGACCTGTCCATGACTTGCCGTGTGCATGTCTTGGTCGCATCTACGATCAAATCTTCTTTTTCCATGGTCGGCCATACTGTTCATGGAATCTGCCGTGGGGTACGGCAATGTGTACTGCTCTTTCGGGATGCACTACGTTTTCATAATTCGCGGCTTGCGGTACTCCCCCTCTTTTGCATGATCTGTACAGGTTTCACTTTTCGGCTCGTCTTTGTCTGTGTTTCCGTTTGCCTGTTTGCTTGCTTGTCTGTTTCGGGTGGTTTCCCTGTTTTGTGCTGTTCGAGCTTGGGCACTTTTTGAGGCGCACGCACCTCTCGCGATGCCCGTACCTGATCTGTTTTGCTGTTGTTTCATCCTTTTCACACGGAGTTGCTTGATGCAGACGTGCGCTCGACGCGGATCGCTGCTAAGGGGCAAAAAAAAGCTCCGGCAGCACTTGCGCAGAGCAACTTGCGCAGAGTCACTTGCGCAGAGCAACTTGCGCAGAGCAACTTGCGCAGAGCAATTGCACAAAGCGCAACTGGCGCAGAGCACTTGCGCAGAGCAACTTGCTCAGAGCACTTGCGCAGAGCAACTTGCACAGAGCACTTGCGTGCAGCAGCGTGCAGCAGCTTGCAGAGAGCAAGCAACTTGCGCGCAGCAGCCTGGAACAATGCAGCTTGCGCAGACCACTTTTGTGAGAAATCGCGCGGCGCAGTTCGAGAGGAAAGTAGGATGATGAGATGGAGCTCTCATGTTGCAGGGCGTACGCGGTCAGGGCGCTGGCGTCCGCCTTGGAGGCCCAAGAGGCTTGGCGGCGGTGACGACGCCCGAGAGCGTTGGCCACCTTGGTGTCGACCTCCAGCGGCGTGATCCTTGATGTCGAGGGAGTGCTGGTCCACCATTGTCTTGAGGCCGTAGTTGGCGGCCACTGTGGCCAGCGTGAGCTTCTTACTACATGTCATCGTTTCAGATGTCCTCGCCGGGGTTCGAACCCCAGGCCAGCGTGTTGCAGAGAGATGCGGGGTTGCCAATGTCATCGTTTTGTCATTGCCGGGATTCGAGCCCCAGTCAAGTGCTGCAGAGCAGAGAGAGGCGGGGCCCGTGGCAGTCCCGCCAGAGCGCCTGCCTCCGCCCAGCTTCTGGCCCGGGACATCGAGGCCGCCTATTTTTTTTTACTCCAGACGGGCTGGAGTAAGCTCGTTTTGCATGATTTTGCACTACAAGTGAAAATGCGTGGTGTGGTACATGTAAAGAAGCATGGAGGTAGTCGCAGCCGGAGCGCAGGATGAGCTGATGCAGAGCCTGGACTACAAGCTGAAAACCAGCAACACCAACCACGCGACTGCGCGGCGCAGTATTTCCCCAGCTTGCTGAGCTCCCCGCCACCTTGCGGGTCTGCCGCACCCCGCTGCCAGCGGCACGTCCTTCATCGACCCCGAGTTAATCAAGATCGCCTTTAGAGTCAGAAACACTAACGACCAACCCGCTGGCGCCGGCCACTCCAAACCCCGCCTGTTCTATTCAGAGGATCCAGGTCTTTGCCAACGGCCAGCGCTGCAACAGGAATATGTGTGCGCGCGCTGCAAACGTTCACAAAGCACTTCTCAAAAAAGCCCGCTGGATGGATCTATCGGCCTCGAACGTGACCGCCTCTCCTCAACAGAGCCTGTGTTCACGGGATGGGACGGATCTATTGACCTCTAGCCCGGTGGCCGCCTCTCCCTAAAAAAACCTGGGTGGGCCGAAGACATCTCAAGTTCCGCAGCTGCTTCTTCAAGCCGGAGCGCTGGCCTCGTAGCTTATTCAGGTCTACCGCAGAGCATCAGGTGTCGGAGCCACGCCGGCGTCGTCAGCGGGCGGGGTAGCCTCCGCGTCGTGGGCGTCAGCATCCTCCGTCGGCCGCGCCTCGGGCGCCCGTGCTCTCCATTGGCTGGCTCCGCCCGGCCCTGGGGGTCTGCTAGTTTATGACTGCGCTGCACGAGTGACTTGCGCGTGCCCCGGCTTCCCTTGACACCCACATCCTCAACAGGGCCTGGGGACGGTAGGGGCCGCGCGCGCGTAACCCGACTGTATCCTCGCCCCTTGTGTCCAGGTGCGCCGCGTGCCCTGGTCACAGCGCGACCTTCCAAGCAAGCCGCAAAAAAGGCGTGCGTCTCTGTCGTTCGACTTTGTTGGGGTTCAAGGGAGTTAAGGCTCGGAGCAGTGCGCCAGGTCTTTAGCTTTACGAGTAGCACTGAACTCAGTTGGACAGGATCGTGGTGCCCTCATTCCAACAACTGCGCAGAAGTGGTTCCTTCATTTTCGCATGATAGCTTGGCTCAAAACCCAAAGTTTCTCTGATGAGGCACCACGGTTTTCAAAACAGGAATGATGAAAACCGCCTTTTGCGCGATGCAACATAACAAAATTAGTCACAAACTCGACGATTTGTTAGCCACAGGCAATTTCATCATGTTGCAATTTTTTATTTTGTTTAATATCGATTCCGATATTCTACCTGATTTTTTTCAGTTCGGCTGTTCTCGGGCAACTTCTGGAATGTTATGGCAAGGGGCTTTGGTGGTGACGCACAAAGCACACAAAGCAGCACACAAGACAACTTGAGGATGCCGCGCTCGGTTTACTCGTTTTGTGGTCAACTCAGAGCCCACGTGTATTGAAACATGAAGAGAAGTTCATTGTCCGTGAGATTCCATGGGCTGATGTTTTGGAGAATGTGTGTTTCAGTTGAGTTGGACTTGGCATGCGTTTCTTGCAGACAGTTTGGGGTGCTTTTAGTATGAATGACGAATGTTTTCTCAGCTGCCGTTCAATCACCTCTGAAGGACACCGCTTGCCTTCGGTAGATCAAATGGACAAAAATGAGAAAGCCATGAAGACACATACTCTCACAGTGCTAGACTGGTCCTGCGAATTCAAAAGATGGGGTACCTTCAAAGTCTTTCACATTCTGATAGGCAACTGTTGTAAGTTGCGTGTTATTCTGCTTTCCTTGGTAGAATCAAACTAGCTCATTTTGTAACATCCATGTCCATAGCTTCTGCATTCATTGATGATTTCCACAGCAATGTCAGATGAGCCGGAAGCTGCGAGTTTGAGGCAATTGGTGTCAAGAGGATGGACATATCATCATGCGACTTTCGATTTATACTTGAAATTGAGTGGTGTTTTGTTAACAGAGGCGGGTGTCACTGGTGTCATTTTGCCGGAGATCAGACGTTTGGTGCAACTAGAGCGTGGTCACAGCAGCGATGATGAGCTGCGTGTGCGGAAAGCCAATATTGATTTGGCCAACACTGGACTCACAGATGCAATGCTGAATACATTGCTGGGTGCCTGGCAGACTTTAGGGATCTCCTGCTGTTCTCTGTGCCTCAGATTACAGCGGAATTGTCTCACAGGAGCATCATTGTTGACCTTGGGGCAGTTCGTGACGGCAGAGGCCATTGGAAGCTTGGAGGAGTTGCATGCAACACATCAATTGGGGCCAGAGCGTGTGACTCGAAGATCTGTCCTCAGCTTCTTGAAGAAGCTCTCCCAGTGCAGTAAATATCCTATTTGGGTCAAGCGCCGGCGATGCTTTCGTCCAGTTCATTTGCGCTTGGGACGCTGCGGCATCGAGAATCCAGAAGAGATTGCAGGTGAGCTGGAGAATCTAGCTTGCAATTTGACACTGTCATGTATTTGTAGTTTCAGTATCATTCTGGTTGCTTTTGTTTAGTATTGCCATGACGTACTGTACCAATCTGTAGTCCAATTTCATACATGCTCTAAGTGAATGGACCTGGATAGTACCTCATGGGCTGCCGCGATCGATATCATTTTATATCTTTGTTTTAGAATGTCCACGCCAATGCGCAGGAAAGATGGCGCGCGGGTTTGCTTTGCGGATGATCAAGGCTGTATCCGAGCTGCTTGTAGTTTGGCCCGTCACGGTGGAGGATGTCCTGTGGCTCATTTGTTTGACTTCCGAAGCCAAGAGCTGCCAGCTGAAAACCCAGAACCACTGGGAGCCACAGAGAGATTGAAGGAAGCAGAGCAGATGGAGGTAACGCTACAAGGAGAGAAGGGCAAGCTCTTTTTATGTGGTTCGTGTGAGAGATCACTTTCAATCGACATGTTCACCCGATGTCAGTTCTCCAAGGCCAGTAAGATTGATGAACATCGGGGCGAATCGCATTTGGTACGACGGTGCAATGAGTGTGTCACTCAACCCTGCTGTGCCTGTGGACAGCATCTTTCCCTGACAGCCTTTTCAGGCAGTCAGATGCTACGACCGCAGGGCACTCGTCGTTGCAGGCCTTGCACTTTAGACACTTGGTGGTGCGACCGTTGTTCCAAACCCAAGGTGACCGGGGAATTTTCATCCTTCCAAGCCAGAAAGGGCAAGCAACTCTCCAAGGTGTGCAGAGACTGTGAGAAGAGCAATCCATATTTTGATCGGCGCCACGTTCTTTGTGCCATCTTCAGTGGCAAGTACGCGGCTCCGCCATTGCGTTTGCCAGCCTTTTCCAAAGAAATCTTGATGTCCATTTTGAGCTTTGCAAGGGAGTCCAAATTCATCACCATCAGCGGTACAAGTTATACATGCAGTTTGTGCAACAAGACCAAATCCTTTCTGGCCAATGCCGGCGATGATGCAGTGGAACGTCATGTCCGAACATCCCAAGTGCATGCAAAACGGGTGCGTAGTTTAGAGGCCGGCCACTTGGTCGAGGTTGCAACTACAGGACTGGATGCCGGACGTTTCCGGGATGGCTTAGGTCTGCGGGGAGCCTTTTGTGGAATTGACCAGGTGAAAGAAGCGGCAAGCCTCATTGACATTTGGACTGTCAATGACACTCAGCCTTTGCTTCCCTTTCTGCGGCATGTTGGATGTCGCGAATCTGAGTCTGGACAACTTCGCTGGGTCTCTCCTGAACAATTTGAGAAAGCTTCTGGACTGGTGGAAGCAGCGCATGGTTCGGGAATCGAAGGCGACTTTTTTGCGAGCGCATCGATGCAAGATGTGGCGGAAGCAGAGGAAAGAGCGCTGCAACAAAAGCGGACCAAGGTGAATATGCTGTGTCGTTCCGGTGTGGGAGATTCAGATGAGGAGGAAGATGAAGAGACCGTTGCACTTCGACGCTTTTTGGCCAGGTGACACACGTGTTGTCCACATTTTCCAAGCGACCTCAACAGACAGAGTTCGTCAACTCTGTCAAGCAAGGCCAGGCATCCTTTTAGCTGAACTGCCCCGAACTGCCATGGTGATGGATCGTTGCAGTGCCAGTGCTCGTCCAGTCAATAGCGGATCAGAGAGCACAGCTGATGGCCAATTGTATCCAGAATATGCGCCCGTGAAAAAGCAAGAACTTGGGGCAAATGCAGTTTTTTGTGCTGATTGTGGTGAGTCACATAAACATGGAATGTGCGCTTGAATGATGATGGGCATGCATCATTTTTAACATTGAGTTTGGATCTGGAAAGAGTGTACCCAGAGACGGTTATTGAATTTGATGACAGCTCAAGACTATTCACGAGGATCCAAACTTGAAACAGTTTTAAGCTTCAAGTTGCTTGGCTTTTGACAGACACTGTTTCCGGCAAATTGTCCTGTTGCCTTTTGAATGCTGACACGGCTGCCCATCCTGTCAGATTTCCCTTCCCAATGCAAGGGTTGGGTTCGGACCTGTTTCTGAGCAGAAGCGGCAAGACGCGCCACTTTTCTTCCCTGTTTACGAGGGAAGCGTTGGGTTCTACCAAAAGCACTTAGTCTCCAATACCTGCAGCACAGCCTTCGAGGTGTGTTTTTCACAGGTGTTGCTTGGCTTTCACGTTTAGATTCGGCTCCTTTGATCTTGTGTTCGTGCTTACCTATAATTACACTGCATTACTTCAATTGATCACATTTGCTTTGGTCTTTTTGAATTCTTGTCCACTCGCAACTGATACCCCGTCTCTCGCACACGGGATGAACCTTCAGATGTGTTGACCCCAAATCTTGAGTGCTGAATCAATGGTGCCAGCATGCAGCCAGGTATACTTTGCCCGCCCTGGCAAAAAAGGCAGCGTGGATTTGGTGGAACGCAATGGACAGGCAAACGTAGTTACTGTTTCCATCAAACCAACATAGATTTTGAATATCGTACAATGAGGGTCTCAGGGCAGCTCTATTGAATTGCTTCTTGGGCAAATAAAATGAGGGCCAGGCCAAGGGCGAGGGCATGAGGCAAGGGACGAACTGGCAAAGTTGCCCGCAAACCGGGAATCGGATGGTGCGCAAGCCATGGCCAGACATGTTCTTGTACTCCACCAGGCTTGTATGCGCGGGATGATCAAAGAAAGCAACGCTATCGGAGCTAGGAAGCCAGTCCCAAAAAAGCGGCGTCCACCGAGAGACGCAGCTATCCAAAAGATCAGAAGGCCTGGCCAAAAAGTGGATCCCTGTCAAACGTGTTGCCTCGTGGGTTTGCTGACCAAGTATGGCCCTCTTCTTTGACAGAGATGTCCTGCGACGCGAAGGACGCATGCACGCTAAGCTCGATCCTCGCTGAGTTCTGGTGCCGGCTGCACGCTCGGCACGGGGATCTTTTGCCGTGTCGGAAGGAAGGCCAGAGCCGCCTCCAGCAAGCCGCCGGAGGCCAGGCCTTTGCTGACCCGCGTCGGCTGAAAGGGACTCCTGGTTTAAAATTTGGAATTCTTCGTTGGGTTCGTGCGGTAACGGCGCGAAAGCAACACCGACCGTAGTACCGTAGGCCTGCAGAAGCAACGCCTGGTCAATGCTTGGCCGATGCTGCCAGCGGTTGGCCCAACCCCAGCTTGGCATTTGCTGAAATGCCCGCAACCGTCTTTTCGATCGCAGTGACCATATCAGAACGATGCACAAGTATTATTAGGCTATGTCTTGTACCAGAGTCCAGCTGCTGACTTGCGAGGCCTGCTGGCAGTGCCACAAATTGGCGCGCCAATGTTGCAGCACTCTGCTTTTTACCGAGGCCAGCAAGTGCTGCGTCGATGATTGCCCGCCTGTTGTGAGCCCACACTCGCATGTGCTACGCCTGCGCTTGCCCACATTTCGGACAATGCGTGCGCAAAGTCTGCACCATGTTATGGGGTGCGGTCTCAGAAATTTGCAGCCAGCATCTCTTGTCCATCCGCCGTTCTGTTCCAACACGCGGTTATTGATCCATGCCGTAACAATTGCAGTCTGAGAATACGTGGAGAAAAGGTCAACGCGGCACCGAACTTCCAATGCAAGAAGCGATGGAAAACAGATGCAACTCATCTTGCAGCGGTTGGCCACACGGCAAGCTGCATGCTCCGAGCAGGGGCCTCCTGAAAAACATAGTTTCGGGGGAAAGCACGTGCAGAAACAAAAGCATGTTGCACTTTCCCCATCATCCACGATTTCTCCCACCTAAATGCGGGGGCAACTCGAAACCTTTCGCTGCAAGGAAGCAGCCAAGTGTCAAATGTTAGGAAAAAAACAGGTTTTTACCTCTTTGCACAGGCAAAGTGGAAGCAAGCTGGCCCATGGATGTTGAGCGAACACGCACAGGGCAGCAGATCGGGCTGAGCAGTTTCAGGACAGGATTCTGTGGCGACAAGCAGCGTCGGCAAGAGTCTCAGTGCCAGCACGGGTGAACAAGGCAAACGGACAAGGCTGGCGCGTATCCCAGCGAGCAGCCCGGCACCGCAAGAGGTCACCAACCATGTCATGCGTTGAAGGGCAACCACCGGCTCCAGGAATAAAGTTCAACGATGCTTGGTGGAACTTGTGCCGGGGCCAACAAACAAAGCGGAGGCAGCCCAAAGGTAAAGGGCACTCCAATGCCGCGGCCGCCAACAACTCGCGTCTGAAAGCATGCCCTGGCCGATACGACGGTGCCCAATCTGCATGTGTGCGGTGTCGTGCGGTATGGAAGTCCTGCGGCCACTCCGCTTGGGCGTGCCGCGTGTGCATGCGCGCCAACTTTCGCATGCACGCCAACTTTCGCCACGTGTCCTGCCCATTCTGTCGTTCCTGTGATACAACAATCGTTCCGTCTCTGTAGTTGGTGGCGCCTCCGCCAACCTCATCCGTTTGACGTTCTGAGTTGCCAGCATGTCGCTTTGAAGGACGGATCGCGTACCTTGTGGCTTGTGCGTGCCTCGTTTCCAAGCGGAGCACGGTGCTTGAGCAGGCGAGGACGCTCCAAATACAACAGTGTGACTGCCCGGGAAAAATGCTTGAACGGCTGCCGCTGCTCTTGCTCCCAGCCCCCCCAAACACGATGAAACGTCAATGTCGCGCGCCGCGCAATTTGGGTCCTGTTTGCGCTGCGCACACCCTATAGGACCGTTGTGTTTGACTTGACTGTGCGCAACGCTAAGCGAAGTACCAACGCATCAGCAAGTGACGTGCTGCTGACAATTTTTCCCTTTACCCGCTGCTGAATTGGAAGTTCACCGCCCCCCCCCCCCCAATCGCCAGGCTGCTTGATGGCAGCGAGGAAGCCGACCTTCCTCCAGCGCTTGGCGAAGGACAGAGTTTTCGCTAGCCCCGAAACACAACTGACGCCAGAAGCGAGCACTGCTGCGGACTGCGGCGTAGGACCTGCGGAGGAGTACCCACGCCGCCCTGGCCCGAGCCCTGGCAAGCTCTCGGATCACGTCCGCTGCTTCTGCGCCCTCAAGCGCAAACGCAACGAAACGGCAGCACACAATTTGCTTTAGTGTCGCTCGCTTGCTGACAGCCGTCCTCGAGCTTGATCCTGACAGCGACCCTTGTTTCTGTTCATGGGATTGGTGCGTTCGCCATTTTTTGAGCGCATGCATCCCAGGAGGAAAAGGAACAGGTAGCTCCACACCCATTTGGCTCAGGGCAGGATGTTGTTTGAAGTAGCCGGCTGTGTGCAAGGGCTCTGACGAGGAAAGCGACCCCTCGCTTGGGGCTCAGTTTTTTTTTGGCGCGCTTTGAGCTGTCGACGCCGCGACGACCATGCACGCTGGTGTCCGCAATCCTCCCTGGTGCTGCGCAAGACGTCGCAGCCATCTCTTCCGGAGATGAAGATCGGGCAGGCGCAGCCTTGGCGCAGCCGCCGTCATTGCATTCCCTGCCTGCTTGTCGCACTTCTTCCGCCTAGGCTGCGTAGCGCGACGACGCTTGCAGGCTGCGGCAGTAGCTGGCCTGCTAGGCTCGCTTTGCCGCGGGTGCTCTGCGGAGGCTGTGCGAAGCGATTTTTGCGCCCAGCAGTCCGTGCCAATCCCCACATGCTTGCCTGCAGACGCGCCACGTAGGGGTGATCAGACGCTCCCTCCGCAGTTTCACGCCGCCGACGCGCAAGAGCCGCGTTCGCCAGAGCCTCTGTCAGTGTTCTCTTTACGGGCTTGGCGACGGTGCGGGACTCACAGGCCATTCTCGCTGATGCGACTGTGCAATGGTTTGGCGCCTTGACGCATGCACAGCGGTCAGGGAACGCCCCGGCGCAGCCCGACCAACAGCGTGCTAAGTCCTCCGGTGCCCCCGAAACACGCCCAAAAAAAGAAAGACAAACAAACAAACACCCTTAAGGTTGCTATTTTTGGTTTGGGAAGCCGCGAAAAGACAGAAGGACGCGCGAGAGAAAAAAACAACACGCCTGAAAATGAAATGGCGCTGCCGCCAGCCGGCTTGCCATTCTGTTGCGCGCCAGGGAGGGGACAAGCGACGTTGCCATGACGGAGGCGTCCGTCAGCGACTGCGCCGGGCCCCCAGCGATAGCTGTCAGCCGAAGATTGTACCGCTGTTGTTTTTTTTGGCGCCGCCCACTTGCAGAGGACGCGTAGAACGCTTGGTCTGTTCGACCGATGCCAGGAACGGTTTCTACATACCAGCCTCTGCGCAGGAAACGCTTCTGGTCGCCGCTGCTGAGCTGGCCCTGCCCAGTTTGCTCCAGGCAGCCTCCGCGTCACCCCCTGCATGGCTACGTCCCAGCCACAGGGACGGAAGTGTTGCTCTTACTGTTCCTGGGCGATCGCGGGGCCGCGCAACTCGTGACAGACCAGCACTGAGGGTCCCACCACGCACCGCCCGGCGCAGCCATTGAACCAGCTGCGCGAGGGGGCACGCCTGTGCACAAAGGGCTGGCAGTGGGGCCGTCCAGAATGGGGGCAGCGACCGCCATCGCCGAAGTCGAGCGAGGTCGCCGCCATGCGTGCTTGGGAACTGTGGTTTTTGCATCCCGCATATTGCCCTGTGTTCGCATGCTTTACTCGGAGCCGTCCGAGTACGTGTGGCATGACGCAATTGGTGTTAGGCACCTTGTGCCCCAGGACGGTTTGCGGTGCACAGGGCGGCCCGCTGATGCCCGCTTTGTATTCACTGGGGCAGCACCCGATGCTGGCAGCTGGCGAGCGCATGGCTGCCTTCCTTGATGACACGTATGCGCTTGCAACTTCTGAGCGGGCAGGGCCAGCCTTCCAGGTGCTG